TATATGGAGAGAGAACATCTGCATTCCTCCTCAGTATGCTGAATCCTGGGGACACAATAATACCCAAAGGATGTGGAATTATGCTTGCATCATAATTGCAAAACAGATAATCCCAGGAATGTTTGGTTAGAGACAGATGGTAGTGCTGAAGCTGATAGGATGGGTGGGCACCTGCCTGACACGTGGATCTGCTCCTCCTGCTTTTGCTGCTGGTAAAGAGATTCTACAACCTTGATGGTGCTTCGAAAACTTGCAACAATGAATTGACCAGAAATAGTGGAGTTTGCCAAAAGAATGGCTTACGTCCATCACAAAAACCAAGCCAGTGGCTCAGTGTTTCTACCTCTCTTAAAAACAGTAGCCTTAGGTACTCATCCAGGCAGCCACGGCTGTGTCTAGAAAGCTTGAAGAACTAATTTTAGGGCCCTTCACATGTAAAAGGTAATACAAACAAACAATGCCCCCCGCCCCCCAACTCTTCTTATTGTATGTCTGAAAGGGGGAAGAGGGGAGAAAGCTTCATGTAAAGCTTCTATTTCTTTTCCTTTCCTGCCATGAGAACAGTTTGAATGCACAAATACTTTGGGCTAGATGGTGATGACTCCCAGACTGGTCAACCTGAGCTTAGCTTTGGACCTGTTTTGTGAGCTAAACTCCTGGAAAATTGTTGGAATGAATGCAAGAGTCAACAAAAGTATCTTAATAGCTGCAGAGCAAAGCTAGCCAATTTTATTTTTGTCCAGGACCTCAGAGATCATCTCTTGGGGGACATTGGCTAATAGAGAGCAGGGCTGCAGAAAGTAATAGGTGGCGCCAAACATGCCTTGGGTATCCCCTGTTTGCCTCTCTCGCACTGCCTGTTCTCTCTCATCTTTTTATTTTTCTTCTAATCCTTATTTCTCTCTGGCAAGCAGAAGCTGCAGGAATGGGACAGACAGATCTTACAAGAAGTCAGAACTGCAAAGCCCACATGAAATTAGGCCCTAAGTCACATGTGGTTGAATGGGACAGACAGATCTTACAAGAAGTCAGAACTGCAAAGCCCACATGAAATTAGGCCCTAAGTCACACGTGGTTCTAGGCCACAGATTGAAGCAGCACCATGATTTGAA